AAAGCCCAATCACACGAGATAGTTATATTTTTATATTAACCTGAAGTATCAAATGAATTTACAATCCACTTAATGGTAAGTGGCACCTGTAGTCCATGATGGCTGGCGATGCATTATCACCTCTGATAACTTGAGATAGAATGCCTAACAGCCAGTAATTTTGACAGCTCTCTACAGGGCTATTTTTCAAAGAGTAGCCAAATTTTAAACTTATAGATATACCTACCTTTATTGCAGTTTTTGAAAATACGAGTAAATAAGGTTTTTAATTTGTATGTGTAATTTGAATGTGATTTATAGGTATAGGTTCTGAACCTTCTCTGTAAATTTGACCGGTTATTGCAAAATAACCCTGTATACTCTTGAGACCCGAACACAGAAATGCAAACTCCTATTTGGTGGTAGAAATAGTGTCCTACCACATAGTATTTAAGTTATTTAAGAAACTCCTATAATAATACGGTATATATCTTAATATATATAAATTACGTGTCACGTTGTTTGTTCGCGATGGACTCCTAAACTACTTAACCGATTTTAATCAAATTTGCACACCGTGTGTAGTTTGGTCCAACTTGAGAGATAGGATAGTTTTTTTGCCCACTTTTTTGTTGTGAATTTAAGGATTTTTAATAGGACATGACATAAAATGTCGAAAAGAGCAGAACAACGTCTGCCTGGCAAGCTAGTATATATATATATATATATATATATATATATATATATCCTTATAAGTTTCCACTTGTTACATGTTACTAGTAAGAGTATTAACCCTTCATTGTTTCATCTTTAGGAGATCGGGCGACATGTGGAAACACAAGAGAACTCTACATGGACTTCCTGCAGTCACTATGTGATAAAGCTAATTTTAATTTCTTGAAGACTATCTCAAATCTACCTGAATTTTATAAACAATACCTACTCTTATTAAAATTTCTATTATATATTCTCCTTTTATGATGCATTGCTATAAAGCCATTAATAGTATAGATACAGATATAATTTATATTTACCAATTAAAAAAGATATGGTTGTTACATTTTTTTCTTTTTTTACATGGTAGAGCCATGCTGCAGTTATATACTACTAGTATAGTTGTAGCACGAATGGGTCGGCTCGACCAGGAGTAGGACCACGCTCTCACAATATACCAGTGTAAAATAGCAACTTAACTATGGTGAGCGTAGAGAACCGGAAACCCTTCTTACTGGAAAAGAGGCATTTCATCTTAGTCCTCACGGGTGACAACGCATCTGCATTTTGATTGATAATCGAGGCTAGATGTAGATGTCTATGGGCCGCAGCAACCACTTACCATCAGGTGGACTGAGAGCTCGTTCGTCACAATTATCCTATATTTATATTTGAAACAAATCGATAGTTTCAAATATTTTAGCCTTTTATTTTTTATAATTTTTACTAGTGCTAAAAATATTGAAATTACATTTGGCAGTATGCTGGAAGTCATATCTCCACATAAACTCGACGTTCCAAAAGGTTTCATACTTCTAAGGTATTTAGGTATTCATACTACTAAGTAAGGTAGCGCAGATGAGAGAAACTTAAAACGGAATGGTCGAGAGGAAAATTCATTCGTAAAATGAAAGTCTTAGGTTCTTCAACAGTAAATATTTATTATAAAAATTGCTCTTATAGCCACATTTCTGTTTCTATAATATATATAATATTTATGTTCATTCTTTGTGCCATTGTTTCACAAAATTATTCCTGTTCTTGTTATTTTCGACACAACATCTTAAACAATAATATATTACAATATAGTCTTGCATTAGACAATTAGAGAAACAATTTTGAATAAAATTCTAACATGAGGAACGTTTTAACAATTCGATGTGCAAACATTAAAGTTTATTCAAAATTGATTTCGCAATTTTCTAATGAGAGTATTTCCCTAGAATATACAAGAATATTTTAATAAAAATCCTGTCATTTTTGGTAACCAATGGCAATGAAAAAGAAACGCTAAAGGAATTAATTACACTTAGATATTTTATATAAGTTACGTATGGTGACGTTACGAGCACTTCTTTGAAGCACTCGCAAGATATAGCAGACGGGTGTGACACGGATCCCGCTGTCAACAATTATTGTTGTGGTCACAACTCTGGAGCGGTGCCGAGCTCACCTGGCCCGCCAAACTCAATGCAAGACGTATGACATGAAGTAACACAAGGAAATGAGGAAAAAAGTACCAAACCACTTTAATTAGAGCCCACTGCTCACGTTCGTACACAATCTCACAAATTCAAGTACTGGTCTGCAAACAATTAAACTTCAAAATTGAGACTTATTCAGTGAGCAGAGTCATTTCATAGAACAGATAACTTTGTACAATTTGGCCTGTTTTACGGAAATGACAGGACGCAAGGCCAAAACAAGTAAACTGAGGTTTTGAAAACCGTTCATAGTTTGTACATAATTGCAAGCATTCTGAGGTTATATTTGTGTCGCATCGGCACCGCAATGAGTAAATTTTTAAAATATTTTATTTATGAATAAAAAAATTCTTACATCTGATTAAATAACTTTAAGTACATTACAACGAGAACAACGTGTGTCGATGCGACAGATATATAACATAGTATAATATCTAGAAATGATAGTAAAAATGTGCGATACATATTAGAGAGATGTATGTAAAGTAGACCATTTTATTCATAATTCGCTAAATTACTTAAGTAAACCATCACAACCAACCATACGGACATGTGTAACAAAAAATTATACAGGTAGGTACGTACGCGAAATAAAAGTTAAAACCATAACAACTGAACATTTAAAATCCCAGTGTGTGAGTTTACAACTCGGATATTAAAACTATTCAATATCAAGGAGTTACGGCGAGAAAATTTTGTGACTTAATTCATAAAATTTAATAATTAATTTATTATATGTAACTTATAAATCTGTACTTGTTTCGAATGAATTGGACAGAATAAATGTTGTATATTACAACACTGTTTGACAAACACGGGTCGCTCCTAGTCGAGGGTCGTTCCTCGACACACCATATCGATATCGACACTAATAAAATTATTACTTTACATAATTTATTTACAACGGTCGCGATCACCGCGACATAATGCCCAACTCCATATATAATATGTACACTAAATTTAAGAACATAGAGTTTTCTCTCATTAGCTACCGAATCACAATTCAAATATTTGAGTAATTGACAACGGTGGACAAACATGCGCCGGAGCACTAATGCATATTACTTTGAAATTTGTACTTTGCTCTATCAAGTCGTGCTAGGAATGTTTGGTCCATGCGGTCATATTATGTTCGTGGTAAAGATTGAAAGGGCGAATTGACGAAGGCGTAGTGTGGTCATTGTTGAGCATATTTAAAAGTAAATTATATAATCGACTAGCTATTAACCGCCCGTTTGGTTTGGCGTAAATTAGGCTTATTAAAAGTATTCTACATAACGGCATAATCGACTATTATGCCAATTTTTGTTAGAATCTGTCCAAATGCTTAAGCTTTTAGGACAAACATCTAAGCAAGCATACTTTCGTATTTATTAAAATATTGGTAAAAATAAACAAAAAATACAAAAAGTTGCGCTAATTATAAAACGATTTCGCACCGCTCAGCTCCGACCACAGCAGCCGATGTCGATTCGTGACATCCCATTTCACGCGGGCTGGCTACAACCAAATGCTGCTAATGAGGACGTATCAGCCACTATAAAAATAAATACTTGAGCTGATTCTATAGCTACGCTTATAGGTCGTCATGAAGCAGTAAAGGGTTGTGCTATTTTAAAAATTATACTTTCAAATCTCTTTTGCATAAAATATTTTTTTCGACTACGGTAGGTTTTAATGCTGCAGCCGTCGCACCGATTGCTTATTGACGATTTTGTTTTAAACCAAAAACTATTTAATACGTACTTTGCTTATATTTTATTACGTAATAGGAACGACTGTAGTAGTTAGACTATATTTGGAAACCATTCAATACAAACAGTATCGAACATAGTTTTAGTAAAAATATTCATCAGGAGGCAACCGGCATGACGGACTTTTTAATTTACAATTCCGATTTAGGACATACTTTGATAAAACCACAACAGCGGTCAATGATGAGATACAAAGTCCAATGATTTAAATGCACAAGCCAACTGCTGCTGCTCGTGGCATCACTCAATCAGTAAGGCGGTATAATTGACATCCAATTGCGTTGTTACAAATAGGTGTTGGATGCGGAACTAATGAAAGTTCACAGGTAAATTTTAAGTACTCGCTTAGGGTTTATTAATTATAATTTGTTCGCATCTGTGCACAGCGCGAACATTAAAGCACAAGATACGAACTGTATTGAGCAATACCTTGCGCGTTATGTTCACGTATTAACAACTTCATCGGCACATGTGCAAACATACAAATATGAAGTAGATTTGAATCGTGAGAGGTGAGACCTTTTAAGAGTGTATCAGAAAGTAATTAAGGCAAACAACAATGAGCGGAGTAAATATGAATCTCAGAGGTATATCAATAGCACAAAAGGTCACACTTCCACGTGCAGGGAAACTTTTTAACATAACCCATCCGAAGTCACGTTCCTCGTCAAGAACGATGGAAAATATCAAGACAGAAATAATTTCAAATTATCACTGTTCCCTTTCAACATAATAAATATAGCATTTTTATCTAATTAATTACACAATAATTTCAACAAAAAATTCTCAAACACCCGAGCTTCGATTCAAACGATAATAACTTCATCGGCATCACTTAGTCTCAGTTCGGAATTCACTTAAAGAAATAAAACTATCAAAAATAACTCGGCTCGCGTTTAGGTCCTGCATCACGTCCGAAGCTAGCACCTTCCCTGATTAACATAATACTAACTAGCGAGTGCGCGCGCGGGTCGCGCCGCTCCGACTAGACCGCGTCAGCTGGCGCCGCGGGCCGGCGGCGTATCACAGGAGCTCAGTGGGGCGCGGGCGCGGGCCCGCGCGCCGAGCACTAACTCGTGGGCACCAGCAGCCGCACGAAGCTGTCCTCGCCCCAGCCCCAGTCGTCGGGCCACGCGTCCTCGGGCGGGTCGAGCGCTGACCGCGACGACAGGCTCAGCACCGAGCCCCAGTCGATGGCGCGCTCCTCGTCGCCGTAGCCCGAGTCCCGGTCGGGCGCCGGCGGCGCGAGGGAAGGGGTGGCGCGGCCGGCGGCCGGGTCGCGCGCGCTCAGCAGCTCGCAGCGAGCGCCGCCCGCGCCCGCCGCCGCCGCACATGCGGCCTCCGGCGGCGCCTCTTCCGCGTTCTCGCGCTCCATCTCGCGCTCGATGCTGCGCAGCGTGTTGCACACGAGCACGGAGCGCCGCAGCGAAGGGTCGGCGGTCTGCCGGAACCGCGCCAGCTTCATCGCACATAGGTTCATCATCTTGAGGCGTCGTTCGCGGTAGCAGCGCCGCGAGGCGCATCGGCCGGCTGCGCGCCCGTCACAACAGGCGCGCGCAGCGGCACCACCCAGCTCGAGGTACGATTTTCCGTTCTCGGCGCGGATGGTGTCGTGCGCGCCGCACCAGCCGCCGCACCAGCGCCGCCGACACGCGCGCCGCTCCTCGTCCTCGGCGCGCCAGCAGTCGCCGCCGCCCGCACCGGCGGCCACGGCCTCCAGTCGCGCGATGGAGTCCTCCCAGCGCGCGACCTTGCCTCCGACCTCGCACGGGGCCCCGGCGCGCCGCTTGCCGCCGCACCCCCCGCCCGAGACCTGCAACCATCAAACAACACAAGTTTGATATGTGTCAAACGACAACTAACTAATCATTTGTGTCACTATGTAAATTCTAGATTAGTACCTTCAAATCACTATTTATACTATGTACTTATACGAATTTGTTTAGGAATAAATTTTATTAATTAATGATCTCAAAAAAAAAAAAACATTCTTGATCATCCCTCTCGGTAAAGAAATTTTTCATTGAATGACAGAGTATAAAACACAATGCAGGTAATGAACATCGTTTGCCGTAGTTTTCCATATGAGGTAAAAGGTATCGATAGTATTTCGGCGATGATGTAAAGCATCGTTAGATGGCGGTAGTGGTTATAGGCAAAAGAAAATTGTTAATTCTATTGAGAAACCCAAGGAGTCAGGCTCTTTTTATCATACTAATTTACTAATAGTAACATAGGTAATATGGTAGGGAGCTTTGTGAAACCAAACATTTATTACTAATATTTCGTTTTGTGTTACTGTTCAGTCAGTAACATTTTGTTTTAACTGTTCAGCTTTAAGGGGAAATATAATGTCAAATGGCTTAGCAAGATCCTTCGTTATGCCGAAAATATTGCAGCATTAATTTTGAAATAAATATATGGTAAAGTTGAGGATTAATGTTAGTGATTATGTTAGACGAAAACACGATTTCGTAAAATTTTCTCGATAGAAAAAAAAATCCAAAGTTACCTCCAAAATAAACAATAAACCGCTGTTATTCATAAAATACTTTAAATAAGATCATGAAACTTTGCATACTAACTGAACTAACTATAAAGCAGTGCTTATGTTATTTACTTTTTTTAAAATACCATTATTTTCACTGTCGAAAGAAATTACCTAAACTATCGGCGTCTTGAGCTTGATTACCGTCGTTCCGTTAGTATCGCTTAGGCTTTTGAAGGGAGAAGTTGTGTCGCTTACGATCAGAATATACATTACGCAACAGTACGACGTAAAATTAAAATGGGAAATAATCATGATAAAAATAAGAAGCGGCTGGCTTGGCTTTAAGAAACAGGCATAAATATGATAAACCTAATGAAATAAGTGTCTAACGACCTTTCTACTTACAGTATTAGTGATTACAAACATATCGGTACATAGCATACGACGCGCGGGGGAAGTGGGGGGCGAAATTAGAATTTGAGCTGACTTACTCTAACCTCTTAATAATAAATTAAAAGAAATATATAAATGATATACCTATAAGCTCTATAAATAGCACTAAGCAACCAATTCTGCAAAAATAACATCTTAAATGGAAGGTACCTTCTATTCCTCAGCCAAGAATGTGGCGATGGCTCGGCAAACTTTATTAAATATATTAAAAACCTAATTAAATGTATACTGTTGAACTTCATACAAGAGAACGTAGAATGTAACAACGGAGTCCATTGCAACGCTCGCAACACGCGCCGAGCCATGCAAGTACCGTAACTTACACGTGCCAATCACCACATGAATTTCGAGCACTGCACTGTTTCAAATCTTACTATACTACCTTTTGGTTTCTGCTGGTAGTAACCTGATATTTCTTGTTTTATATCTCACAATTCTTTTTTTTTTTATAGGATAGGGTGACAAACGAGCACACAGTCCACCTGATGGTAAGTGGTTGCTGTGGCCCATAGACATCTACATCCTCAATTACGAATCAAAATGCAGATGCGTTGTCACCCGTGAGGACTAAGATGGAATGCCTCGTTTCCAGTAAAAAGTGTCTCCGGTTCTCTACACTCACCATACGAAACACAGCAGCATTAAGCTACTATTTCACGTTGGTATTCTGTGAGAGCGTGGTCCTCACCCGGTCGAGGCGACCCATTCGTGCTACAACTATACATCTAATATAACTGCAGCATGGCTCTACCACGTATAAAGTATACGAGTATTTCAAAACATTATATTCATTGATAATTTTAGATTCTCATAATAAGTCGCAATTTAAAATTTTAATCTAATTACTTATTGATTTTGATATTGGCCGAGATGAACTTTTCTAACGCTAAGTTAGTATCTATAAAAATGTTACAGAACTATGGTTGTACGAGAGAATTAAATTCTGGTTCAAGTATTACCTCTAACTAGAAGGTACCTGAATCTAATTCCCTTTGCTTTTGTATGCGCCCCGACCCTTCCCGCTTTTTTTGGATACAATATGTTCCCGCAGAGCAACCCCTGTAGGGGTCTCAGTCCAGGTAGAGGGCTCCGTGCTCCGAAATGCGACTGTGGGATTTACCGACCCATGCCGGAGGTATGGCATTCTTCACCCGAAAAAGGTTTCATACACAAAAGGTTGACGATGTTTTAGAATCCGCCAAGCTAACGTGGGTATGAAGAAGGGAGCCATCGAAATAGATAATGCTCCATTTACAATAAAATAAAACTGCAAATTTCTTTCGTTACCTGTACTCTCGTATCAATTTTTATCAATTAACGACCTTAGCAATAATAAAAACAAAACACTAGCTATGTAGCGGTCTAACCAATGAAAAAAGTAATTATTTTACAATAATACAATACTTCCTGTATATGTCAAAGCATGGAGCATGGTTAAGAAAAGTGACTGACAATTTATGAATGATGTATACATTTATCTAACCTCCTTTTGATAGAGTTGACAGCATTTAAAAGGAAAATGAACGAGTATGAATACAGCACGGAAATAAAAAAATATGACAACATAAAAGTAATAACTTATTAATATTTTTTTAATATAATGTTAATGTATTTGATTATATTATTAATGAATTTAAAGTTTAAATTATAATATTACTGAATTTAATTGACAAAAAGTGCGCTACACACAGTTAGTTTGTCGGCTCGGTAGAAATATATAGTTTTAAGACCTCAAAGATGGAGCAAGCGGGCCGCGGGTTCAATTCTTGGATGAAAATAAATATTTGTGAAAGGTTTGATTGCTTTTCAGCCAAAATTCCAGATAAATCAGGAACTATGTACCAACGTTGCATTCCGAAGGTTTGCTAATGGAGTTTACTATTTTAATGATGAACACTATGCGCATTTTCAGCAGAATAAAGTTGGGAAGATGTCTTTGCCTCCCATTAAACTTGTAAAACAAGGTGCGGTATACCAGCTGCATTTTACTAACTCATACTTCACTAATGAAATGACGGACGTGCAAGCAACAGACTCGCTGACTTAACGATCCACATGTCTTTCGAGACCTTCGCTTCGTGCACTTGCCTTTACATTGCCTATAAGTTAACTAAAGAAGGATTGTTACGCAAGTTGTTCGGCCAACGTATATCATTGAGTTGTCGCGCGCCTTACACTGAGTGGGGTAAAAAATGAAATAGTTAACAGAGTCCAGCGGACGGCGGACGGCAGATGCCTTTGCACCTGTCCTGACAATAAAGTGGGACAGGCATCTTTAAAGAACTTAGAGCCTTAGCTTATATAAGCCTTTTAAAAATATATATTATTCAATTTAAACTAATAATAAATAAATAAATATATATTGTTCAATTTAAACTACTAAAACGTTTAAAATGCGTTATTAACTGAGCTCTATCTTATGTCATTGAATAACCTAGACAACTATTGAAAGTTCATAAATAAAATTTAATGTAATTAACATAAAAAGGTAAAATTAAAATAATTTAATTAAATAAAAGAAAATTTACAGTTACAGCCTATATACGTTCCACTCCTGGGCACAGGCCTCCGCTCATTTCTGAGAGGGTTTCAGGGCAAGGAATTGTCCGCCGTGCTGCCCCAATGCGTGTTTGCTTGTCGTGTGCTTGCATGTCCTCATAATATTTTTTTTCTTATTTCTCAGACATGGAGGTTTCCTCACGATGTTTTCCTTCACCGCCGAGCACGTGATAAATCAACACTTAAAATTGCAATTAACAATTTAATTGGTGCCGGCGGGGATGGAACCCGGTTTCCTCGCGTACCTACTGTTAAATTTACAGCGAGCGCTAACCATCTGAGCTGTGACGGATTTTTAATTAATAATTTCTAATATTTCATATTAATTTATAATTTCAAGGTTAAAACTATATAAAGCACTTTGTGCATGAAACGTAACGCAATAAGAAACGAAAGAAGCAAGTGCATGTAATGCAAAGCGGTGACTGCGTGCAACGAGCACAGCCGCTACAGCGTTGACTCAGCGACCACTCATCGCAACGCTGCAAATAATCACTTTGCGTCACCCTTTAGCGTACCGAGGAAAACTTGCCGCTATATTGTAGAGTTGGCAAACGCGACTCGTCGACCCTGCTAGCGTTTAAAACTTAAAATTATACCCGCGCGCGGAGACTTCCAATATGCAGAAATAGACGATGCCACGAGGTTTCATCGCTATCACGCGGTGAGCGGGTCGTAAGCTTGTAGGTATAGCGGTGTCGCCAGCGCTAGCGCTCATGAAAATAAATTTAGTAAATGACGTTGGCGCGCGGCGTTGCCACACCGCCACTTGGAACTTGGAACGTGGCCGTGCGACGTTGCCATCCCGCTCGCTCTTTCTAATCTTGTCGTAAAGTTCTTTTTCTGATGCGCTGCGCGTCGCTCGTTCAGTCTGTTCGAAACTTGGACAGACGTTTATTTTATCGCCAACGTCGTATACCTATGCGGCATTTTATAACCGTACCTTACTAGCAATTTCCACTTATTCCAAACGACTATCGTAAACAATTCTACTGCGCGTCGCCTACGAAGACATCTATTCGTTGGGTCGACGTAGCGGTGCAACGTTCGCTTGGGAAGGTAGGAAAAGTTTGAGTCGAACGGAGACTTTCTATGGCATTGTGAGAAGCGAATAGATGGCGGCGCGGCATTGCCTCACAGCGCTAAGCCGTATCGTGTCGTTGTCGAGCGAGCTCGGGTCAGGGGGGTGCGGTAGGCGGTGAGGGGGGAGGGGCAGGCAAGGGGCGACGCGTCTGTGTTCTTGTTTGTTGCACGTGCACTCACACAGCTGCCCGATATAATAACATCGTAGCTTCTATCTAGCGCTACAG